ATGTATGTATGTATGTATGTATGTATGTATGTATGTATGTATGTATGTATGTATGTATGTACGTACGTACGTACGTACGTACGTACGTACGTACGTACGTACGTACGTACGTAGGTAGGTAGGTAGGTAGGTAGGTAGGTAGGTAGGTATGTATGTATGTATGTACGTATGTATGTGTGTAAATATGTATATATATGGGTATGCATGGTAGATATATAGAGAGAAGTTGGGAGACGTTGCGAAAGAGAAGGTTGCAATGGCAATGCTCTGTGGCCAGGCACCATGGCCCCTAGAGCCGGCCGGAGCAGGTGCCTTTTCGACTAAGAGTCCTCATGGAGACGGTTCTCAGGTTTGGGGATTTAGGTCCCTAGGGATTCGGGTTCAGGACTTTAGCGTTGTAACTTCTAGGGGTTTGCAGCCTGAAAGAACCCGAGATGGAAGTTCTTAGGCGTTGCAGATACCTGTGCTTGGTCGCCGCAGTTGCTGTGGCCTCGACCTCGGCATGTGCTCATCACAGTAGCATGTTCGACACCTTTGGAAGCCAACTCTGTAGCACTTTCTCTTGCCGTATTAAGTCTGACCAGGTCTGCAGCAGGGTAGCTTTCATGTCAACTCCTCGGCACGCTGCATGCAGAAGACGCATCCAATCGCAGACCTTTGTTGCCGGAGCAAGCGCATGCTGAGTCCAAGCACGCAGACGCCACCCAGACCAGGCGCAAAACCGCTCGGCTGTCGATTCCATCCGGTCTCCATCCCTTGTTTGTTCCAAGGCTGCCACGCCCCGACAGCACTGGGATTGTGGTCATTAGTAGTGCGCTTACATGCCCCTGCATCCGGCTGTGGCAAAAAGCGGCTCAGCTGCTCCTGCAGGCGGCAGCAGCAGCCCATGCTGAAGAGCAGCCAGATGGTCTCCCCAAAGCCAACAGTGCCCGCGGCATGATCTTGCACGCTTCATCAAGATAGCTGTCTTGGGAAAACTTGCCCGCCAGAACTATACACCTTCGAGGATGCTAAGGCGATCTGACTTCATCAGCACAAGAGAATGTTATCCCTAGAGACCTTCTCCAAACCCAAGCAAGCTTGAAGCCAATTGAAGCGGAGGCAGTGACGGAGAAGCTGAAAGCTGCTGGGGCAGATGCAAACCTGCTCGATGAGCCAGTCAGCCTCCTGCCACCCGCTGGGCCCCCGAGAGCCAACTGTCATCGTAGTAACTAGTCTAGTGGAGCTGCCGTGTAGTACCAAAGAAGCCACGGCCATTTGCTGTCACTATTGTATCATTGTATCATTGGTATTATCCTCATTATGATCATGGACACTAGTCTCTCGTTGTCGAAGCATATCACAACTTTGCATGAACAACCGAGGATCTGCCAGAAGGTGAAAAGGCCGCGGACATGGTCCAAGACATGACAAAGGAGGCCCCCATCGATGGGTGAGAACTGTTCGCATGCTAGAAGACCCAGCACCACTTGCAGCTGGAAAGGCTGTGAAATCTTTGCTGGAAGGCGATTTAGGCGCACCTGTTTGAGATTGCCTAATTACGCATCTTGCTGTGGTACTTCGGAGCTTTCGTTCCGGAATCGACAGTGCGTATGTCCACGGAACGCTTTAGCGGCGAACGGTGCGTTTAGCGGAAGTGTGTCTTCGTCTCGTGGGGCCAAGTTCGGGTCTATTCGAGTCTTCGCGTGCCATGAGGGTCAAATCTGCCTATCTGATTTGTGTACACGTTAGCATAAATGATATTTACGTTTTGTGGTTTGCAAGCTTTGCTTCAGAGACTTGACTGTTTCACCGTGTTGCGGCGAAGAAGCTGCACTGGCCAGTCGCGTCTTGTATTTCCAGTTATGGAGCAGGTAATGTGGCGAACATTGCTGGGAATATCGTCGAAGAGGGCCTAGAGGCGGTTCAGGTGCGCTGTCGGTGATGAACAGGTTATGTCAGCATTTTCGAGCAATTCAGCTAAGGATGAGGAGTTTCCCTGGGACAAGGTCGGCATCGTCTTTTTCGGGTCTCGACCTCGTAGTTTCATGCCATCAGCGACTGGAAACTATTGCGGTTTGTTCCTGCAGGTTCGCACTCTTAGCAAACAGTCAGAGCCTCAGCAACGAGGGAGAAAGGGAGAAACGCATTTTGCAGCTTGTGGCTTCAAGATCTGAAGGTGCACAGTTTGTCAGATCCCCAGTATCACCACGACTGCACCAGGAATGCCCAGCTGTGCTTAGCCTCAGACTTGGTGCACACTGGACGAGGTGTACCCACTGCTGGAGGAAATCTTAGAGGAGCATCGAGCTTCGAGACATTTGGGGATGGGGGGCATTCCCCAAATGAGAGTAGTATCTCTGGTCGCAATATTCTGGATGAGAAAGCCAACGGAGAATCGTCAGCTTCTTAGTGCTCGTCATAGTGTGACTGCTTCCCTTCGGTGAGGACGATGAGGACGAGTATTGTAACAAGTACAAGCGCAACTGCAACTACTAAGTATTCTTGCCAGTGTTGCTGCGAGGACGAGTACTGCGAGTACTGCGAGTACTACGACAACGACTACTACTACTACTAACACTACCACCACCACGACGACGACGGCTACTACTACAACGCTACCACTGCCACTGCGACTGTACTGCTGCTAATGATACTGCTGCTGCTGCTGCTGCTACTACTACTACCACCACCACCACCACCACCACGACTACTACTACTACTACTACTACTACTACTGCTACTACCACTACGACAACGACTTCCACTCCTATTCCTCCTTCTACTCCTACTCCCACGGCTGCTGCCGCTGCCACCTCTACTGCTCTTGCTCCTGCCCCTGCTTCTGCTGCTGATGCTACTGCTGCTACAACGCCTACCAGAACAACTACAACTACTGCTGCTGCTGCTGCTGCTACTACTACTACTACTACTACCACCACTGCCACTGCCACTACCGCACTAGTGGCAGTGTCACTGTCACCGGTGTTGCCGCGACTGCTACGACGATGTGCCCTGCCAATTTTGGGCGTTGCAAGTGTCATCAGGATGAGGAAGATGACTTCGACAGGCTGCCGATGCCAAAGGGTGGAGCAGGGCACTAAATCCGGCGCTGGCAGGATTTTGCTTTGGTGCTTTGCTCAGGGCTTTGGTGCTGAGGCAGCTCGGCGACCGGTGGGTCAGATCGAGGAGATCGATCTCAAGCTGCCTCCAAAGCCGATGTCCGAGACCATCGCCGAAAAAGTTGAGAAGTCGAAGAAGGTGGAAAAGAAGAAAGAGGACAGACAAGTCGCACTTTCATCGTGGGCTTCAGGAGCTTTCTGTTTTGTCTTCTCCGGCCCATGAGGACTTTAAGGAGCAGGACTGGAAGAAGTCAGCATAGCAGGCTTTGCCCGTCTGTGAGCCGATGATTGGCTCCGTAGCATTCAAGAGCCTCAGGGGAGTGAACTTTGCTCGTAGTATATGTAGAAAACAATGTGGGTACAGGATGATACAAGACAGTACAATTCATACCTAGCTCCTGAGTCAGGCTCTGATGAGGGGCCGGTTTTCCAAGACACCGCATGAGACAGAGCCGCAGAAAACAAGTCGCGCGCAGCACGTTGACCACTGTCCCTTTTCGAGCGGGAGGCGGCTAGAGCTTTGGGTCACAGAAGCAAGGCACAAGTTTGCTCTGAGATGTGGGCAGAGTCCGGAGATACGCTTGGGATGCTCGAGAGCTGATGCCCTTTACAATGACACGCAGACAGAGGCAGACTCGAATGCCAACAAGCCACAGCGGACAAGCACCCCCAAGTCAGAGTCCAGATGTTTTGGCCACACTTCGGCTCCTTCCTAGGGTCTTCTTCAGCCAAGCGGAATGGGATGTAATTGTTAGGAGCAGCGCAGCATGGCCCTTTTCTGCGGGCTGCTAGGCCCCAGTGGTGCACAGAGCGAGCACTGAAAGTGGTTGAGCGTTTGAGCTATCTGACAGGAAGCTTGGTCTATGTCGGGTATGTGGTGGCCCAGGATCTCTCAGCCTTCAGAGAATGTAGCGCTCCCAGTTTGCAGTGAAAGAAGCCTTTTGTCGAAGCGTCGTGACGAGAACTTGGAGGATCATGGGATTTAGTAAGTAAGGTTAGAAGTACCCTAATTAGGCCCTAATTGAAGGTATAGATAATGTATCACTGTCTTTACCTGAGTATCACCTTAGCTACTAAGCCCCATGATCCTCTAAAAACTGTTGGAATCTTTCAGGTCCGGAGGTATCCAGCTACTACAACGTTTGCTGCGCGCGATTGCCGTGAGCTCAGCTGCCCGAGTCAGCACATGGGTTTATGGTTTGTTAGTGGTTCTCTGTCCTCTCGTTTGCCTTAACTGTACCATTAGCAACGAGGGTTTTTTCAGGGGGGTGATCGGTCTTTACGAAATTGAAAACTGGTTGTCGTCCGTCTCTCAGTGACGGTTGTACTACCCGCTTCCTGGCCGGCACTGGCAGCGACAGCGGCAGTGGCAGTGGCAGTCGTCGTCATCGGCGTAGTAGTAGTAGTAGTAGTAGTAGTGGTAGTGGTATTAGTGGTAGTGCTAGTGGTAGTAGTAGCAGCAGTAGTTGTTGTTGTTGTTGTAGTTGTCGTAGGTGTAGCAGCAGTAGCAGTAGGAGGGATAGTAGCAGTTGTTGTGGTTGTAGCTGTAGTGACACCTGAGCAGCAGCAGCAGCCGCAGCATTAGCCGTAGTGAGGGGAAGTGGTAGTGGTAGTGGTAGACGTTGTGGTCGTGCTACTGGTGGTGGTGGTACTGGTAGTGGTAGTCAGCAGGTAGTAGTAGTAGTAGTAGTAGTAGTAGTGGTAGTAGTGGTAGTCGTGGTAGTAGTGGTAGTAGTGGTAGTAGTAGTAGTAGTAGTAGTAGTAGTAATAGCAGCTGCAGCAGCAGTAGCAGCCGTAGTCGGAGTAGGAATAGGAGGAGCAGTCATAGTCGTAGTCGTCGTCGTAGTAGCAGCAGCAGCAGGAGTAGTAGTAGTAGTAGTAGTAGTAGTAGTAGTAGGAGTAGTAGTAGTAGTCGTAGTAGTAGTAGTAGTAGTCATAGAAGTAGCAGGCGCCCCTACCAACTACCACTTTCTCTAACCCATCTTAAGAGCACATCCATTTTAAACGGTATTTTCGGTACTTTCGTCATGTCCTACCATTTCTTGTTGGCTCAAAATCCATTACTCGACTTTGCAAACTCGAGCTTCGGATTTTGGAAGGGTTCGGTGGGGTGGGGGGGGCAGGGGGTGGGGGGGGGGCGGGTTGACGACTCGCTTGCGCTCACGTGCATTTTACCCGGTCTTTACAGTACTTTCGTAATGTCCCACCACTGCTTGTTGCCTCAAACATGCATCTGTCGACTTTGCAACGTTTACAGTAGTGCTTGTGATGATGAACATGATGGTTCCAGCCGGCAGGTCGTTGGTAGGGAGGGGGGCGTGGTTAGTAGTAGTAGCAGCAGCAGGAGTAGTAGCAGTCGTCGTCGTAGTAGTAGTCGTAGTAGTCGTAGTAGTCGTGGTAGTGGTAGTAGCAGTGGTAGTCGCTAGTAGTACTAGTCGTGGTAGTGGTAGTAGCAGTGGTAGTTGCTAGTAGTATTATTATTTTTATTATTATTAGTAGTAGTAGT